ACTCCCCAACACGGCGTGGCGGCCGGGCTGAGCTTCCTTCTCTGAATACGCGCCGCTTCCGCAGGCCCAGCTGTAGCTTGAACCAGTTTGGGGAAGTTTGGCGGAGGCCCCTGCATATTTTTACTTCACACATGACCCCACGGAGCCTAACGCTGCCCATATCCAGCGGCTTCCCCTCTTGCCATTAACCCTGCAGGGGAAGGAGGGAAAGATGCTGATCGTTGTAAGGGTTTGCTTTCCACCAACACCCTCCCCCCTTCCTTGCTGCACGGGCTTCATGTCCTCCCTTTAACCCTGAGAAGAGAGGACAAAAGCTAAACTATGCTCTTACCCGGCTTCCCTCATCCCACTCCCAGCTAAGCAGGCTTCACATCCTCCTGTTAATGTTGAAAGGAGTGAAGGACAAGAGCTGATGATGAGTCTCAGGCCTTGCTCTGTTTCTCCCCACCCCCTCCATCATCACTATCCCCATCCCCCACCGCAGCTCCCATAGACTTGCATCTCTTCCATTAACACTGAAAGGGGAGGACAGGAGCTCTGATGGGTTTTTCTCAAGCTTATTTTGTTCTCCCTCTTCTACCAACCAGTATCCAGCTCTACAGCCCTTCTTAAGTGCAAACCCTGCAGCCAGCTCTGTTTTCATACACACCAACCCAACTGCCCTTCCCCCAACTCTCTATCCAAGCTCCACAACCTTGCAGGAAAAACTGGTGCTTCCCCACATTTTACTTATTTGCAAAGGGATGGTAGTTTTTAAAAAATGTGTGATCTGTTCTGTGGGCTGCAGCATGCTTTCAGAACAACATGTTGTTTTATGTAATCTTGTATATAGTCCTTAATAGCCCCTTCACATTATCCATTTTGGTCTTTTAAAAAGTTCTATCTCATATCCTTCTGGATCAGAGAAGGTCAGTTTAAACCATTTTAAAATCAGGAGTAGGTTCAGAAGGGTGACTTTTACTTTATGGTTGCTATATCTCATTTTAGGGAATGATTTTTTTTTTCCAAACCAGGCATGAAGCACACCGAGGAAGAATGCTTCAGCACTGATGAAAGTATGAGTTAATGAGAGGTTTGCAGGGTATGTAAAGCAAAAGAGAATATTTAACCAGCTCTGCTGTTCCCTCTACATACCACAAACTTGTAATCTGGAACCACAAGCTGGATTGGATGTGTTTGGAAAGCTGCAGCAGGAGACTCATGTAATTAATTGCATCACAGGTGGATGCTCACTCATTTCACATATTATCATTTTTAGAGTACCTTTAAGTTTTTATACACTTTTTTTTCCTGTAGGCATTGTGTGAGGATTGATTAATACAAATTGTGAAGCACTTTGAAAACCTTAGAGGAAAGGTGTTATGAAACTACAAAGTATTATTTACTGAGTCAGGCTTCATTTTAAAATAACTTGATTTTTTCTATATTAACAGTTCTAAAGATTTATATTAATAGAGCATTTATATTTAACAGATTCTCAGGTGCTGGGGCCGAAGTGTTCTTGGTGGCAACATCCTAGCTATGGAACTTTTAGCCTAAAGAACTCCTTGGCAGAAGAGATCAGATCATGGCCAAGCCTGGCTGTGTTTAGGTCTACATGTAAGATGTGCCTTTCTACAAAAGGCCCTGAAACAGTGCTAGTAAATAAAACAAAAACAAATTCCTTAAATTCATAAATCTCACTTCCCCAAGGAACAAAGAAAAGTAACACCACTTTTGTTATGTACTGGGATACCATTTAAATTTGTACAGTGCAATGACTTGTTTAATTTTCTGTCTTTTTCTAACACTTTTTCTAACTAACACTTTTTCTATAAGTTTCATATTAAAATGTTAAATTCCTCTTTGAATATGGTGGGTAAATATTAATTGTATCAATGGTATTTTGTCATCTTCATAAAACGGTGAGAGAAAGGAGTGTTGTAACTGAAAAAAATCACTTTCTTGGGGAAATCATTATATAACAGAGGAAGTTACTGAATCTTGGGGTGAGGGAGAACCTAACACTAAGAACAGGGATGCTATATATTGTTGGAAAGCTATACTATAAGCATGGAAGTCTGAAATGTTTTATGCTGAAGAAAGGTTTGTAATGAGAAAATGTGCCTTGGAATAGAAGAGGATTTGATTTTTTTAAGAAACTTTAAGCAATAAACTAAAACTCTTCAACCATATGAAAAAAAGTATTTTGCTGAATTGTCCATGCTAGAAACAGAAATTTGGCTCATATAGTCTGTTATGAACATCTGCTGAGTGGAATAATCATTTTTAAAAGTAAGTCACTTACATTAAACTTATTTAATTTTTCTGTGATTTCAGTTGAAATTGACATAGCAGGGAAGGGAAGTAACTATTTCCTTTTTAAAGTTATTAACTGAATGTATGTTCAATAGGCCATACAACTGGATTACCTGCTTTTGAGTAGGTGTCCTGATTTTTCTCATGACAGAACATGGTCCTTCACTCATCTGGGTATCAAGTGTTTCCTTGTAAATATTCATTCTGTAATAGGAAAGATTGGGATGTGGTCTTTCTCATATTTTTGTACAACCAAGGAATGCAGTGATAGGTCTGGAGAGCAGAACTGGGATTCATTTTTTTTTGTATTCTCAGCATTGTTGGCCACTAGTTTGTGTTTAAACCACAATCTCCTACCCTCAGTTATCTCTGCAAACATCTCTTTAATGTTACTGGGAAGCAGCACTTCAGCATCTTCTCCTTTCTGAAATATTTGTGGCCTCCTCGCCAGTGTTCCCTCTAAACTGCGCGACATCACGTGATTAATCAGCCCAGCCCAGTCAGAGGCTCAGGGCTCTGTGCCCTGACTGACTAGGCAGGGCTGATTAATCACCTGTGAGGATGTGCTGTGTGCAGATTAGAAGGAACACTGCTTCTGCTGTGTGAGCCCTTCATATTATTTTCCCCTCCTTTTAGTTTGTGTCTTTGCAGCTTAGAATTCTTTTACTGAGCCAGGAGTTTACCAGATACTTCAGCTAGAAATTTAGGTCATCCATAATAGAAGGGGGAAATAGAGCTAAAAAAAAAAAAAAAAAGGTGGGGGAGCGAGAGTAGTTAACCTGTGGTTTTAATTTTCTTCAAGACATTTGTCAGTTTTATTTTTTCTGTCTGTGTGTATGTAAACTGAGAATATATGTGTTGGAAAGCTGATTAGGGCGAATCATTTTTGTGATGTCAGAATCAAACTTGATTATTTTCTTGTGTGTGTGGTTTCTTTCCCATCTTTCTTATCAGTCTTAGTTGCTTTCACAGTTGCTTTGAGCTTTAATCATTCAAATTATTCATAGACTTGCCCTGGAAAAAGAAGACTTCTCATCTGGACTAGACAGATTTGCCATAAGTGTGAATGGGCGTGGGTGTGGTCTTATTTTTTAAAGTATCAGAATAATTTTGTGATTTAATTGTCTTTTAAGAACTCCTGTGAATAGTTTTGCCCAATTTGTAAATATCTCCAGTGGAACTTCTTAGAGTTATTTCTTGCAAATTAACTGAAAGCCTAAGACCCAGACTTACAAGGTACTGACTTTGACATGCTAAAAGATATTGCTATTTCGCTTTTGGAAAATCATATATTTTATTTTTTTTAATTAGTTTGGATTAGGTTATTGGACTGTTTGCAAAACTTTTTGTCCCATAATCCCTAGTAACTCCAATTCTGTATGTTTGTGATAATCAACTTAATCTGACCTGATTGTATCAAAAATACCATAGCAAATTTGGCTGTCAAATCCAAAGCTTTTTTCCTTAGCTCAGGGAAGAGGTTCTTATCAGAACTGTCCCTTCCTTTAAGAGGAGAAGGAGCTTTTATATAGAAGACACTATTACAGTCCAAGTTAGTACTCCACAAACACGTAGGGTACTCATCACCTAGTCCTAGACAAATGCAGCTGGAAGCAGGCAGAGGGCTATAGCGGAATTATTTTCTGTGTAGGCTCATATGAGCTGAAGGGCTCCTCTGATGCCAAATATATCTCCATAATGGAGAAAAACCACGACGACAAAGCCAGAAGGGTCTACAGACTTATGCCTTATTTGGGGAATTATCCCTTGATTTTTTTTAAAAATGTTTTTATACATAATAGGCTGTGTCTAGACTGGCCAGTTTTTCCGGAAAATCAGCCGCTTTTCCGGAAAAACTTGCCAGCTGTCTACACTGGCCGCTTGAATTTCCACAAAAGCACTGACTTCCTACTGTAAGAAATCAGTGCTTTTTGCGGAAATACTATGCTGCTCCCATTTGGGCAAAAGTCCATTTGCACAAAAGGGCCACTGTAGACAGCTGAGATTTGTTTTCTGCGAAAATGGCGATCGGGGCTTTTTTGCGGAAAAGCATGTCTAGATTGGCCATGGACGCTTTTCCACAAAAAGTGCTTTTGCGGAAAAGCGTCCGTGCCAATCTAGACGCTCTTTTCCGAAAATGCTTTTAACGGAAAACTTTTCCGTTATAAGCATTTCCGGAAAATCATGCCAGTCTAGACGTAGCCAATACAGTATCTCTTTCTTTTCTCTGCATCCTGACTGTTCACAAGAAAAGGAGATTCCTTCTCTATCCTTTGGACACAGACTGGGCTGCTAGACAACTGGGCACTTTGCCAGTATAATGGTTTCTTCCTTGCTCCATAGGATAGATAAGGCTTTTTTTTCAAATTCCTCTAAGATACCAAATTAGATGGTGCTGCTCTTCTGAGCAGTTGCGTGGCCGGGGGCAGCAACTCCTGAGCAGTTGCATGGCCAGGAGCAGCAACTCCTGTTCTTCTTCGAGTGGTTGCTCATGTCCATTCGAAGTAGGTGTGCGCGCCGCGTGCACCACGTCTTCCGGAGCGTTTTCCCTAGTGGTACCTGTAGTGCCAGCGGGGTGCCCCCTGGAGTGGCGCCGCCATGGCGGGGCATAAGTACCCCTGCCGGCGCTGCCCCCCCTCA